CTTGCAACTTTTCATTTTTTAGTATGTCATCCTTTTTCATTTTTAAGCTTGGCTGTCTGAAGTTGGCAGTTTACAAGAAGTGATCGTATCCCGGTTAATTATTTTCCCTACTGTGTTCTTTATTTTTGCTTTTTACTAATATTATTAAATTACTTTATGAAAGGACCACACAGGACAATGCTAGCCTTCATTTTTTTTGGGGGGTGGGGGTGGGGTTCAGCTCAACCAGTTGAAGCTATTTTGGAAAGCCTCAGGTGAAAAACAAAAGTACCATTCCAGGCTTGTGGTCTGAATTCCCTTGATTTCTGAAGAAGATACTTGCTTCCATGCTGCAGGCTACTTAGCTGAGTGAGTTCAGGGGACTAGTAAGTTACGGAGAGTACACCCGCAACATTTGCTCTGCTGTGGACCTGACTGATCAGAAATGGCAGAGAAACCTTTAAAAACTGGGGGAGGCTCTGGTATGTGGTGTGGAAAGCATCACTGGAAAGAAGGCTCAGTTAATGGAGAATGGGTCTGTAAATGGATCCTAGAGGGAGATGAACTTTCCAATATTCCCAGCACAGCCCTCTTGGATCCTGGGGAAATCCCAGGGGAATGGTCCTCGGGGGGGGGGCAGGCTCCCTTGTCCCCCCAAAGAGATTTTGCTATTGCTGCTGTCCCAAATCAAGGGCTGGGCTGGGTGGACATAGGGACATTTACGAGCAGCTTCTAGGAAGAGTGTGGGCATTGCACGGGCACAGTGGATTTCACTGCCGTTCTATAAAGGCATTCATAAATTATTTTTAACAAAGCAAGCATTGTCCTCTGGAGGGGTCATGTGATTGTGTAGGAAAACCGCGTCTTCATTGCCTCTGAAGGCTTAATTTTCAACGTTAATGCTTGAGAAGTATGATTTACTGATGGCAAGAATATATTATGAGACGTGCATAATGGAGACATGCAAGGAAAGAATGAAGCTTTTTTCTAGTAAGTCCTGAGAGGAATAGCGACAGGAGTATAATTATAATTAATAAGGTCATATTATAATAACCTTAGCTATGCAGTTACTTTTTCCTTTTGTCAATGGCTGTCTTGGGAAATGTGGCAAGAGCAGGAAGCATGATGAGGAATAGCTGCTGCATAAATTTCATAGCTGGAGCCTGCAATTAAGGTTATTCCTGAATCTGAACTGTTGTTCATCATCTGAAGGAATTCCCTCCGCCATTTTTTCATGAAAGGTTCCCTAAAAGTGCTAATCAGTTTAACTCGCTTAACCTGGCTAAGGCTCCGGATGCTCTGTCTCAGCGATGCCTTGGGCAAATAACCCTTCGTTGTCAGAGGCGTTTTGGAGCATTTTCCCAGCACAGAGCAGGCTATGCTACGCTGATATGAAATGAAAATAACTGCAACAAGACCTCTGGGAACATGTCTTTCTCTTCTGTGTTTTTAAGCATAACATCCATCTTCAAGAATGGGCTTTTGGGGGTGTTAAATCAAATATGTGAGGGCATAGGGAAACTGCAGAACAGTAACAGAATTCGGGTGTCGCGAGACGTTTGTTGGCGCATTCTGCGTTTTTCATTCCTTGATGTACCCCTGGCTGGCTCTTGCCTTGGGAAAGTGGGGTCCATCCCCACCAGAACTTCATAAACTTTGGTAAAATCCTTCTTGATAGGACTAACAGAGGCACACGGTGGTGGCACAGGGCACAGACCTCCACAGCCTGCTGCAGCCTGCAGCCACTCGCACCGGGGAAGCTGTCACAGCCTGCACCACGTCTGCATAGGGTTTCTTTCCCCTGGTAGTTAAACAAAGAGCTGTATTTGCGCACGTGTGGGGCTGTTTTCAGTAAGGATATTGCTAGGTTTCCCCATACCTGCCGAGATGGAAATTTGGCAAGTTGGGCTAAGTACAAAGAGGGTAGGGGAATCATGCAAGGTAATGGCCATATTTTCTTTTTGTTGTTACTTTGTTTTCCAAAATACAACTACTTTTCTTATTAGTATTATTTTCATTAGGAAAAAAAAAATCTGTATGTTTTTTTGCTATATGATACTGACCTCTTAAGCTGCTGTTGTGTTATATGCATGAGCGTATGCACATGCAGACAAACGCAAGTCTACTTCAACGTACTCTCTGGAGATTCCCATCAACGAGAAGAGCATTAGAGCTGCCACTGGTTGGGGTTAGGGCATGGAGGGTCTTCCAGGCTGATGTTTTACTGGACAACACTCTCCTTGGAGAGCCAGGATGAGGGGCTGGTGCCAGAGCAGGGTGTGTGTCTGGGCGTGTATCAGATACCTGTGTCCTGTCCTCTGCTGCTGGTGGGGTTGGTGTCAGGATGGAGCCACAGCTCCGTGCGCTTTGCTATCTGGGAGCCCTGTCCTCTGCTGCAGGTCAGGACTAGGTTTACGCTGAAGCTAAAAGTGAGGGTCAGAGTTGGTTCTTTCCTTGAGCATGGCTGTGTTCGTGTTCATATTCATCAAAATCTTCCCAAAATCTTTCTGGTTTGTAACATGAAATTGTGTCATAACGCATTAGGCATTTAGCACCGTTGTAAAATGGAGGGAGCTACAAACCGCATGCAAACATATCACAACATGTGAAAAATACATTTACATCCTGTAAGAAGTTTCCATAAATATTTTTTATTATTAACACTTAAACGGGTGGCAGAATTCTTGTGTATTTGTGCACCTGTGCTCTAGAGCTCGGTGGTGATGCTGCTGGTTATCACCGAGCTCATGGCTCGGGGTCATTTGCACTGGACGTCTGCAAACCAGGGCTGAGCTTGAAGACAGGCAACTAGAAAGCAATTGCAAAGGAACAGGCATGCTTTCTCTCTGCCAGTATAGAACAACTAAATACTCTGTATTATTTTTTGGTTTGCATTGTATTTTTCTCTTAAGACTTTGTCGTGTTAAATGTGTACAACCCTACTAAAAATTCTGTGTTGAGATCTTCATCAGCTAAAACGTACTAAAGCTGTCCCTTGAAAATTCTCAATTTTTGCCTGACTATGTGATCAGGTTCTGCAAATGCCCATCTAGCTGGCTGTTTCAAAGCGCTGTAGCTGGTCATCATACTGCTACAGGTGCTAAACTTGTGTTTGTGTGTTAACTTTATATTCTTAGCACAGCTTAAATGATGCTGTTAAATGCTGGGGGAGTTTTTCCTTAGCCTGAGTTGACTGAAAAAACAAATGCCAAGAGCAGCGCTCTTAAAGCTCTTGTGAACATGGTGAATCATTGAATAGCTATTCTTGATAATTCGTTAATTTTCTGGGGGTATCTTATTACAGAACAAGAACATCTATTAAAGAAATTAATGGGAATACCTATTATACTTCATTTCCTGACTTATTTCTTTGTAAACACAAGACCTAAATTGGGTACGACGTGTGTTGGCAGTCTAGGCAATAATTTGCCGACTGATACATTTCCATCAAGTTCATGGTACCTCTTGTACTTAAAAGCATTGCAACTACTTCACCACAGATTTGAAACAATGACTATTCTGAAGTGATCAAAAATAATTATATTGACAATGCAAGCCACTTGTTGATATTAATAATCTTTTATATATTTCTCTGGTTGTCATCTGTAATGCTGTGACCTGTTCTTCAAAAATCACACTGACCATCCCCAACCCAAACTTTGGGTCCTTTTTGTCAATTCTTCTGTGCTCGCTTACTCCTCTCTTCCACATCTTCTTTATTTCATCATTGCTTTTTTCCATTCTTTTCCAAGATCCCAAGTTCTTCTAGCTTTGCCTCGTGTTGTACAGCTCTGTTTAGAATCACAGAATGATTTGGGTTGGAAAGGACCTTCAAAGACCACCTAGTCCAACACCCTGCCATGGGCAGGGACATCATCTTTCATTAGATCAGGTTGCTCAAAGCTCCATCCAACCTGACCTTGAACACTTCCAGGGATGGGGCATCCACAACTTCTCTGGGCAACCTGTTCCAATGTCTCATCACCGCCATAAAAAAAAAAAAGAAGTCTTCCTTATATCCAATCTAAACCTACCCTCTTTCAGTTTGGAACAATTGCCCCTTGTCATGTACCTCCAGACCTTGGTAAAAAGTCTCTCTCCATCTTTCTTATAAGCCCCCTTTAAGTACTGAAAGGCCGCAATAAGGTCTCTCTGTTCCAAGAGGTCATAGCATTTTAGTTTTCTGAGTTGATTTTCGGTTCTCTGGACCAGTTCCAGATTTCTGTCAAGAACTTCCAATTGAGCATATGTGCAAAGCCATAGCTTTCATTGGTATTTATGAGCTACCTTTAGGTAAAGAAGAAATTGTGAAATTATAGTTCTGATGGCAAATATACAAGTAATAACTGTATATTACACATGGCTACAGCACAGTTGTAAATCAACAGGATACAAAATAATTTTATAGTGTATGTCTTACACTTGAAGGACAGAACAGTGACAAACTGAATGTGAAGTCAAAAACCAAAGCTTAGTTATGTGATTAAAGTCCTTATCCTGAAAACATTAACACATGTTAAAGCTACATGGAAGCTTGTGTGAAGCAGATAAAAATCACACCTAACTGATGAAACTTGTATTTGAAGGTTCATAGGTACATAGCATAGTCTGTGTAATCCTTTCCCTAAAACGTTGTGATAAGTAATGGTTTTGTATGAATTGCTACAAACCTCTACCACTGAAGCTGCTTTTATTTCTTTAATAAAAACATTTAAAAGTTAAGTAATTAAACCAGTAATGTTTCTTCGTGCAAAGTATATTCGTAGATAAACCCTATTTTTCCTTCTTCCTGAAGAATTCCTGAATGCATAAAAGAGATTTATTGTTTATTATAATGAACAACTTGTTCTCCAAACAAGGAAATTACAAAGCATGAATTCTGCTCTTTGTTTCACGTCTTCAAATAAACGATTAAGTTATCAGTTAAAAATACTTTTGTAAGGTTTTGCATTAAGACTGTTGAATCGTTCCCCTTTTCCTTTATAGACAGGAAATTCTTGATCAGTGTTTTTTCTGTTTAGGATATATTTGACAGTGACTGGTACACCTCTCGCAGTCTCATTGGAGGAGCTGATATTATTGTGATTAAATACTCTGTCAATGACAAGACTTCATTTCAAGAACTAAAGGACAGTTATGTCCCAATGATAAAAAAAGCATTAAACCACTGTTCAGTTCCAGTAATAATTTCTGCTATTGGTGCAAGAAAAAACGGTATGTATCCAGTCTCCTGTAGTAATAGTTAAAATCTCACTTGGAAGTTGGAGATGCTGTAATTTCAGTAGAAGCTGATGGTTTTTCCAAGTTGTTAACAGAAACAATTAATCTGTCAGGATGACAGTAATATGTGCATGTATTATGGTTCTGTAGACTGCTGTATTAGCAAGAGCACTATGCTTAATTAACCCTGGCGATGAAAGGCATCCTATCCTGCTTTGACCTCTGCAACGACTCTTCTTGTGGAGCCATCACACATGGGGATTAAATCTAGTGCTTTGGATTAAGCAGCGTGCATTTGAGCGTATAAGATGAACCCTATGGTTATGAGTTCTCTCTGGTCTTGTCTCAGGTAGAAAATATCTCTAGTGTATGAGATTAAAACAAAGTCCATCAGCCTGCAACCACTGGAGAGGGGGTGGGAGAAGCCTCGAAATTCTCTAGGATGTTGTCGGATGCACGGACATACCAGCCCTTTGGGTAGCACAATGTGCCACACGCTGCCACATCAACAGAGCTGACCTGTCACGGCAGAGTAGCTATGGTATAGCTATGGTATAGCTATGACATAGCTTAAGTGTTCGCACAACGCCCTGTCCAGGCTGATCAGTAGTCTGCTGTGAGAACGACGCAAATTGATTTTGCACCGAATGTTTAGCACAAAGTTGTTGTTGTTGCTGGCTAATCAATATGAAAATCAAAGTTGCTTGACTGTGGAAGGACCACGTGGACTTACAAAGTGTCCGGCAGCCGACGAGGGCAATGCTGGTGAGAACACGTTCATGGTTTCGGTACACATTAGTACCTTCTGTCTGTTTACATCAGGGACATAAAGTTTTGAAAGAATACCACAGATACCGATAGAACAAACATACAAACTTTATTCTGTATTCCAAATGTTTTGCATTGTGCTTTTGTTGATTTTCGTATGGTCTTTTTAGTCGTGGGACCCTATTTTTAATTTTTTTTTTCCTAAAGCAATGAATGGAAAACTTGAGCCTGTGAGCTGTCTTTTACTTTATGAGTTTGACTAAAACAAGTGTTTCTGAGCATCCTTCCTCCTATGAGTAAGAGACGTGATAGATGTAGGTGTAGACATTTATTTTATAATGTACAAAAAAATATTAAGCTATATGAACCGTCTCTTCTGTGGATGTAAAGCTCAGTTTTGCCAGAGTCTACTTATATATCTTTTTTGCTCAGTGATTGAAAAAGGACTGTTAAAGAACTCTATAGCAATTAAATCTTTATTTTCTTCCCTTCAGTAATTCACTGATAATGATCAAATGTTTTTATGCTCTGATTTGTACAGGGGTAATAAATCTGCCATTCTAAAGACAAGGTCTCGCTAAAGTAATGTTTGTCTTCCCCGACACCTTTTCGTGCACTTTTTATTTAAGCACACGAGACCACCAATCTGAGTGACTCCACTCCTGGCATTTTTCTTTTCCACCTTTTTTTTCCTGTCTTCCTCCCTAAATACTGTGACCGTGGGAGAAGTCATGCTCTCCCTCACAGTTTTGCTTTGGGACCTGCCGGAGCAGGCTGCTGTGCAGACAAGAGCCCTTTTGTTTCTAGGAGGTATGTGTGAACACAGCAGTTTGCTCATACAAATTGCTAAGATCTTAATCCTCTGTAGTAGCAAGTGATGCTGCCAAAAGAAATTTTAAAAAGCTGTGTTATTACGTGTTATCCATAGGTCTGAGCGCAGAGGAAATTAATCTAGAGCACGCTTGGCACATTTGAAAGCACATCCATGGCCGGCAAGTTCTTACCGGCATGAAGTGAAGTTGAGCCAGCGTGGCTAACAGATTTTTATCAGTTAACCAGCATAATCTTCAAAAATACTTATTCTGGCTTTAAAAAATTATGTAAAATATGGGTAATGAAATCATGTTCTGCAGTACGTACATGGCTGTAACAGCTGGGACTGCAGTGGAAATTTTTCCCTTCCATTACTGTGCGTGCTTCCTGCAATTAAACGAGTTTAAGGGTGATATTAATGAATGGTAACACCTGCAGGCTAGTACAACACCTGTGCGTATAAGGATACCGAGGCTCTAAGCCAGACCTAACTTCTGGAAGTCCTGCTTGACTGTGCTTTAACAAAACTGAATGTAAAATAATGCTAACGTAATGTAAGCTGAGCTTTGTATAGCAGCTAGTATTTTGAACTGGTTAATAAGAAGTTCATTTTTTTGCAGTAATTATAGATGTCTTACTATAAAATGACTATGTTTCCATTTCCCTTTTTGTTCTTTTCTAAATAATACATCTTTACAGTTATTTAGGAAAGTAAGTATTCTGGATTGTTTGACAAAAACGGCTTTTTTGCGTGACTTTTTACCCCAGGAGTGCCTTGCACCTGCCCCCTGTGCACTTCGGACAGGAGGAGCTGCGTCACCACCTCCGAGGGAGTGCAGCTGGCCAAGGAACTGGGAGCTACTTACCTCGAGCTGCACGCTCTGAACGACTTCTACATACAGAAGTACTTTGGAGGAGTGGTGAGTGAGAAACCCCCGGCTTGAGAGCAGGGTGGCACACGTGGGAGGTGCACGGCCGACGTCAGGGCTTCGGAGAGCGAGCGGAGGCAGACCATGAGCCCTCCCACCGAGGGTGAGCTCCCACTGACGCTAGATTTAGACTAGAAAGAAGGAAGAAATTTTTTACGATGAGGGCGGTGAGACACTGGCACAGGTTGCCCAGAGAGGTGGTAGATGTCCCATCCCTGGGAACATTCCAGGTCAGGTTGGACGGGGCTCTGAGCAACCTGCTCTAGCTGGAGATGTCCCTGCCCACGGCAGGGGCTTGGACTAGATGGCCTTCAAAGGTCCCTTCCAACCTAAACCATTCCATGATTCTATGATGCTAGCTGAGTTGGCAGTACTGAGGTTTCTCCGGTTTTAACTACCTTCTAGGAAGGTTTAGGAAAGCCGTACTACCCATCGCAGTATTTTTTCCCCTCCTATTCCTGTCCTTTCATCTTGCTGGGATGGGATAATCAAAACCCAGCTGGACAAGGCACTCGACAACCCCATCCCACTTTGAAGACGAGTCCTGCTTTGAGCAGATGCCCTAAGTGGGTGACCTTCACAGGTCCCTTCCAACCTGAATTATTCCCTAATATCCTGATATTTTTTATTTTAATTGCTCAAAGTCTCACGGCTCTTGTACTTGTAAAGTGAGACAGGTAAGATTGTTGAATTGCCTGATTTTTTAGCATAATCTTGTGGTCGTTCAGTTCGCAGTTGTGATGCAGTTTGCAGTCCTGAGCTGCACTGGGGTCAGATGCAGTGAAGCTGAATGAGGCAGAAGCTCAGAGCCTTGTTAAAATGTCCCACCTCTACCCCTCTAATGAGCTTGTTCTTTTTCTGCTCTCCTGAAGACAGGGAAGCCCACTGAGCAGTTTCTAAATACAGTCTTTCAGATTTATTTGTCTTCTCCACAAAATTATTTCCCACTGACATTTCATTTTCAGTTTTATGAGGTGTTTTAAGCTCAGCCTTTTTTTGAACCTTTTGGTTACTTTCCCAGTGGCACTTGGACTTGAGCAAAAAAATGTAGTTCTTTCGGCACCATAATTTCACATGGTTTGTACTGTTGTTGTCCCTGGTGTGTAAGTACAGTGCGTTTCCGTGGGATTCGATAGTAACTTGGAATATCTAGCACAACAGTTAGCCAATTTTTATTGGATCCATTCATTCCCAATTAAAAATGAGGAATCCACTCAACAACTGGTGCAGTCAGAGTACTTTTCTAGTTTTTAGAAAGCACTATATGTGCTACAGTAACACCTTGGGTGATAAAAGCTTTCAAGACGTGCATTAGCTCGAACTGAACCACCCTTTGTGCCCCTTTGTTCCTGCAGAAGGGATCATTTCCCCTTGGGTACATTTTTATCGCAGTGATGACGCTTGTAGTCTGTCCCAGTGAAACAAACCCTGCCCACAGAGATCACCCTGTAGTGTCACTTTTTCAGAGGACATGGTAGCGTTGCGTGCTGGTGGTGGTTACCTGCAAGCTGAAGAGCTCGTATACGGTTTTGTTATTTCCATCACTTGCCCTGATCGTTATCCACCAAGTCTTATTCTTCTCTCTAATTCTGTAGTTAGCATCTACAGAGGTTGGTAAATTGAATATCTTTGTGCCTGTCGTTTCTGGGAAGATCAAATACAAGAGAATTAACCACCATCATTTGAATAAACAGCCTTTTAAATTGTGGTAATCCCAACTGCATTTGGTATACCTTCTGCCGGCTGAGGAGCGTTGGGGCTCATGACCTGGATGTCTGTCCACAGTGGCAGAGGCCTCCGTCCTGCGTACAGCACTCGCTCCTTCTCCTTAGTTGGATGTCTAGGTTGTTCTTAAACAACTAGGATTTTTAAAAAATACATTTTGTGTTTTAGCTGGAATATTTTATGATCCAAAGTTTGAATCAGAAGTCATCTGAAAAAATGAAGAAAAGGAAAAAGACGCAGAAGTGCCATCGAGTTCAACCACCTCAGCTTGAACAGCCAGGTGCCCGCTGATGTCTGGTCTCTAGTATCGTTCGTTACGTGTGTCGTGTTCTTTGCGCAATTAGCATTTTGTAATCATTGCTGTGAGCTGTGCTATCTATCATCAGCTATTCTGGTTATATTGCTCTACTTGCATCATCTTTTAGTGATGTTTTATTTAATTTGGGGAGAATTGTATAGTAATATGTAACATTGCAATGGACTTTTTAGACAAAAATAATAGGAGTGGTTTTCTGGTGCACTTGATGAAATCATGCAAAAGTGAATTAATAAAAGCTTTACATAAAAGCTTTACAAACAAATTATTAAAAAAGTCATTACATCATGCTTTATTATTGTACAATATCATCAAGTAATATTTTTATTTGCTGCAAATAGAACAAGGGAGGTGTATGCCCCTGCACATGGTTTCCTGCTTGTGATTTCTCAGCATCTGGTGCATTTATTCAGTGAAATAATCGCTGACAAGTAGTTACCTCTAAATACATAGTTGTCTCTTCTCACACGTACTAGAAATTTACTCAGATCCTTTAGGTTTGGGATTCGCAGGCAAAGTTTCCTTTAAACGTAAGGGCCTGAAGAGGTTTTGAAAAAGGATGGACACTTTTTACTAAGCTTAGTATTTCTTGTATTTCTGATGTTACTATACTAAGTATTTCCATTTTTAGAGTATTTTACTAAGCATATTCAAATGGCATATAAGAAATTTTTTTATCGAATACTTCTTTCAAAAATTGTCCTTGATTTGATCAGGTCTCTGGGAATAGCGTTGCACTGTAGTCAACATTTGCTTCAGTTCTACAGCCCGACTCGTTATCTTTCGCAGAAAAAATGCCGATCTTAAAGGGGGAAGCCTCGCACTACGACGCCGACCTGCACAACCTGCTCTGCTGCTGCCAGTGCGCCGACGTGGCCTTTTACCCCGAGGACCTCAGCACGGTGGTGGAGGCTCACAAGATCATCCTCTGCTCCGTCAGCCACCTCTTCATGCTGCTTTTCGAGGTGAAGAGCC